ATGCCCAGAAACTCAACATAAAACATAAGACATGACAATGTTCAGCCAGCTGATTTTATTCTCTTCTAAGGAGTGGAAATTTGTCCCCTTGCCTGCCCTTTCACCTGGGCCCTGATAAATGATTGGAGGACCTTCCTCAGAAATACGCAGTTGTATCTTGCTAAACTTTTACTGCTAACCACCCCTCTGGGGTGCCAATTGCTACTTATTTCCATACTGTTTGGATAATGCCTTCCACCTGCCTGGGTGCATCTCCTCTGAAGCACAATTTTTGGCTATTGGTGAATGGACATAGACCATTGGCATTTATTTGCAGAGGATGATGGTAAAGAGCTCTGTACTGAAAGTTGGAGAAAATTGGTCTAAGTCTAATGTATAACATTTACTGCATGGGTGACTTAGAAAAAATTGCTTAAGTTCTTTGAGTTTCAGCTTTCTCATAAATAAAACAAGGTAATATCTATTTCTAAGGGTAGTTGGTTCAAAAGAAGTGAGACTAATACAGAAAAGGGATTTTATAAACAGAAAACATAATGAAATGCAAGATATTTTTATTTACTTTTACTTTTACCTCAGTCCTCAGGATCTTTCTCTTCTGGTACCTAGCCTCTGCAGCGCTGGGAGAATTCTCACACAGTAGCTTTATATTTATAAAACATAGCTTTGTAATTAAATTATAAGCAAAGAATCCAGACTTGAAATCCAATTGTTAAAATTATCATTTTAATTTTTCTATTTAGAGCATTCTTAAATATTTCATAAGTTTTGTAATATTAAAAGCTGCTAAATAGTTCATTTAGCTCTAATTAACTCAAAAGGTTCGAGAAGTGCATCCGTAACTCCTGTATTTAACAATGCTTCGGATAGTAATAAACCATGTGCACCCTCCAGGTCCAGCTATTGGGCTTCAAAGTAGTTCAGAAAATGCTATCAGGGTTATTTTCATCATACATAAAAGGGAATTTCAGACAACTGATGGTACAGTGTGGTGGTTAAACTCTCAGGCTCTGAAATCAGACTGTGCAAGTACAAATCCCAGCTCTCATTACCCCCTGCCTGACTTTGAGCAAGTTCCTTACTGTCTCTTAGTTTCCTCACCTATAAAATGGGCAGAATAACATCCCCTACTCTATAGGGTTACTGTGATATTCAAAGGCAATAACACATGTGAACTGCCAAGTAATGGCTAGAGCTCCATAAGTGTTTCCTATTACTAATACATGAGGTTTATTGACACCTGAATAATTGCTCTTATAGGTTAAGGTAGGAGCAAGCCTTTTTTCATTGGTATCCAAAAACCATCTAAATATTTCCTTCTATTTGAGATCTTGGTTGGTTTTATTTTGATCCTCTTTTCAATGCCAGTATGGGTGCCCTAAAAGAGAACACGAGAGACACTCATAAAGCTTCCTCTATTTATCACTGACCCTGACACAGAGGTCTCTATCAAAACCCTCTGGACTGTCAGGCTCTCTTCTTTTATATTGGCTTTTTTCCCATTCAAGTTATGTTTTTCTTGCCAAAGAGGTAACTTGTTATAGTTGAGATCATTCAAAGTAACTCTGTGGTAGATAAGGTCATGGCTCTTTTCAGTGATTCTTCCAAGAAGACAATTGGAAGTACAAACAAGGCTGGAGTCTAGTTTTATTAAGCTGACACTTCAGGGAGAATGCTAAATGAACAGCAAACCTTATTCACTTTTCCCACTTCCCTCATTCCAGAGAGCAACCGACACCTTGCCCTGTCATGATAAGCTCCTCGCTAGATAGCCAAACACTCGACAAGTGAACATCAATATTAATGCTGCCAGATTTAATAATCAGCGTTTGCACTGCTGTTAAAGATATTTTCATATTATAATTGGGTGGCCCCTGCTCCTTTATCCAAAAGCTAAATTTGTTCTAGTGACAAGCCTTAATTTTCTGACAGATCTGAGATTTGTGTCCAAGGTGAGGAGAAGCCTAGCTGAAACTTCAGAACCTCTGTCTAGCAACATTCATCCCATACTGTTACTCAGCTTAAACTTTTAATTATAGCATTGAAACTACTGTGCTAAACTGTTCCTATCTCCATTCTGTAGATAATCTCTGCATTTTTCTTCTTTAATACAAAAAAGATAACACAATAATCTTTAAGAGCCTATCTGATTCTAATAATACATAATTCTAAGTACATCTTTCTATCCTAACTAAGTGTTGAGGCATAAATGCTAGAAAGAAGGGGTGAGGGGAATGAAACCAAAAGGAATGATAAAGAATCCAATGCCCCAGAAATAAAAGCAGCCTAGGACACTTCCATGAACTATCTGAAAAAGGAGACTAGAAAGATAGGTTTGGCACCATTCACCTTTCATTATAGATCAAGGATAAGGACTATGATTTCTTTATGAGTTTCTTGAGTTTATAATTTATAGCTTCCCCAATATTGGTTCTTGATTGTTGGAATGCCTATCAGCACTCTGTATAATTATTGCTAAAGCCCTAAAAGAAAAAGAACTGTGTTGGTTCATGGTATGAGGAGCCTGGGACAGAATAAGGAGGAGATTACCTCTGTTCTGTTGTGAATTCCAGAGACAGAAGATCCTCCAGAATATGGCAGACACGTGGAAAGAGAAGTCAGGCTGGTTTAGTCCTTTTAATAATTTGCTTCCAGCCTGGCAAAGCACCCCAGTCCACAGGCAAACAGACCAGCCCAGTAACCTAGGCATTTTGCAAGATCGTTCTCTGCTGGCCTCCAGTCACCTCCTTGTTCCTAACCCCATCTCAACCTCTGACCCTCAGCCCTTCTCTTATTTACTTCCTTGGCCTAGCCCCTCCAGCCTGATTCAATAAATACCTTCTTTTCTAGGCTAAATTCATCTCTCTCTTCTGATCATACAAGAAATACCTCCTCCTCTGCTGAATCCCTGGAAACCATAGAAGGCAAGATAGAGGAAGGCCAAAGTATTTCAGATTTCAGTTGTAGAAGTAAGCCACAGCTTAGCTAGAAGGAAGCCCATCGATTTATGTGATATTTCCACAGGAAAAACAAATTCAGATGCAAATTGTAGGTGTGTCTATGTAAATCTGTTAGGTAGTTTTTTCAATATTTATATGATTGAGCTTTACAAAGAATTATCTAGATATTCAGTATCATATTGATATAGCTATAGAATTGGAATTAAAAGTAGGACTCTGGAGCTGTACTGTCCAACAAGGAGGCCACGTGAGGCCATTGAGCCCTTGAGATAGGGCTAGCCCAAGTTGATGTGTGCCATAAGTGTAAAATGCACTCAATTTCAAAGACAGTACCAAAAAAAGGAGAAAAAAAACAGAATGTAAAGTATCTCACGAATAATTTCTATAGTGATTACATGTTGAAATGATAATATTTTGGACATCTTGAATGAAATAAAATATATTTTATAATAAATATATAATATGTAATCAAATGTATTATTAAAATTAGTTTCACTTGTTTCTTTTTACTTTTTTAAACTTAGCTTCTAGAAAATTTAAAGTTACACGAGAGGCTTGCATTATATTTCTTCTGGGCAGTTCTGCTCTGGAGCATACTGTCTGGCCTCATACATAGCTCTACTACATACAAGCTGTGCGTTCTCAGTCAAGTTAACTAATTTTCTCCTCTGTAAAATGAGAATAATACTAATTCCTGCTTCTTCAGAGTGCTTCTTTCTACTCTTGCATCAGCAACTCAATGGATGTGAGCTGTCCCTTGGAAAAGAGCCAGACTTCGAGCAGGCAGTGTTCTTGCCTAGGCAATCCCCAAAGAGAAACTCAACTGGGAGTCAAGCTACTGACACTCCCAGCAGCTGGAGAAATGAATGAATGCCTCTATGGGCAGCGCACCATGGCATCCACAACAGCTTCTGTTTGTACAATGGAGAGTGCATGTTCAAAGTACAGTTCTTCCTGAAAAATAAGTAGACAGAAAAATGGGGATACTTATCTTTGTACCTGATAGAATGTACTCAATATGGCAGATAGGAAAGACCCAATATATCTAGTAGCTGCGTATAAACTAAGTGTTGAAATAAGACATATGAAAGACAACAATACTAGAGAATATACATTAAATGACTAATGAATAGTACAGACAGTCCTCAAGAACAGGTAGAAACCATGAGGGCTGAATGAATGGAAGGTTTATAAAGGAGGTATTCCAAGCAGGAGAAGAAAAATGAGTAACATACGAAGATATGAATCAAGGCAGCATGCTTTCAGGATACACATAGACCAATTTGGTTGGAGAGAAGTTTCCTGTAGGAAGACACAGGAGGTAAAATTAGACACACAAATAGGAGGCAGACGGCAGTGGAACCAGAATGCCCCTTTAAGCTAGGGTGCTAGGGAGGTAGGGTGACAAGTGCAAAAAAGTAATTTGGGAAGATCAGTTTGGCAGACTATGCCAAAATGCTTTCTTTAACTCCTCTGGGACTCTGCATCCTTTGCAGAACAATCTGATCTAATTATTATTACCCTATATTCTCACATGATACCTTTCCGGCTTTATTAATAATTAGCCCTTCAGTACATGGGAAGTTTCTTGAGATAGGGCTCTGCTTCCAAATATCACACATGAATAATAATCAGAAAAAATATACTACTAATTACTATTTACTGTTGAGAAAGACAATCTAACAGATCTTATGTAGAAAGAGTGGTGATATGTGACTAAATGGTTATCAGATGCTTCTAAAGTTGCATTAAAATGTCCGAATATGACAAAAGGCATTAGAAAATGCTGTAAGATCAATACATTGTTAATAATATGGAACCTAAAGAAAGAGAAAGATTCTCCTTCTGGGCATTGATAAGGAACGCATGACAATGAAACTGTGCTGCCGATGTAAATTGTTTAATCTCTTTCTCTTTGACTTTAAAGAATAAAAACACAAACTTTATCAAAAAAGATGTTTTGCTTAAAATACTACAAACCCAAATTCTCTTTATCCTATAATGGGGGTCTGTGTTTTGTGTGTTTGCCGTTGGCTTCCTCAGACTCAGATTAGTCCCAAAGAAGGGTGGCAAGTGTACAGCTCAGCTCAGGATCCTGATGGACGATGCATCTGCACAGTGGTTGCTCCAGAACAAAACCTGTGTTCCCGGGATGCCAAAAGCAGGCAGCTTCGCCAACTTCTCGAGAAGGTAGGTATCCTGTGTCCCCTGTCCATAGTTTTGTTGAAAACTACATTTGAATAAAAGATATGGGAAAGCACGTAGGTAACGGTGAGGAGGGGCCTTCCAATTTTTGTTCCCCTTCTCAAATAAATTTTTTCCCCTTCCTTGAAAGGAAAACTCCAATCTTCCTACTCTATTGTTCTATTTATATGACTTTTTACTTTTCCAACCTTGCCTTCTTAAGACTGGCTCCCTACTATATATTATATCGTAAAATCTAGTTGGTCTCTCCTTAAGAAAAAAAAAAAAAAGCAAGACGTCTTATTCCGATGCCAGAAATTTAGCCTCAACTCTCAGATTCACACTAGGCTCTTTGAGCTCATGGTTTTGGATCCCATTAACAACCTTGCAAGGAAATTAAAATAATGGCATGCAATATGCAAGCTATCTGAACAGATAATGAATAATTCCATGTATATATCATCATTCTCTAAGTCATTCCTTTGAACATTAAGCTCTTCAATTTCATTCAATAGCATTCTCTCCATATAATTTACTTAAGCCGGATCTATAACAATCAAATGCAGAATGTTCTTGATTTATTCTCTTTTACAGATAAAAGTCAGCTCATGAAAGGTTATTTATGTTTAGTTTGGGGAGGAAAAAAAACCAATGAATGGTTCTTTCAATTATTCTCATTCAGACTTTCACTGTGTTGAGCTCTGAATATAGTAGGACAGCTGGGGTGGCCAGACTGATGGAAGGATGACAACATGTTTGAATTTTAAGTACCTTCAGGGATAATAAGATAAATTAGGTAGTATGTGCTTTGAGATGATATCAGCCTCAACAATTCACTCTGTGCAATATCATTTCCATGATCATCCACACAGTTATGGCATTGAATAGGAACTTTTACACAAAATTAAGAGAAACCAGAAAAATGAAAGCATCAGACTTGTTAAAACAGGCATTCATAGTTTATGCAATTTCAAGCCTAACCACAATAACTTTCTTCCACTGCCATATAATAAAAATAAAGTTCTTCTGTGAACATTATTTGGAAGTCTATTGATGTTCTAAGATTTTAGGAAGATATTTTCATGTTTTTATACAAAGATGAATCTGTTTCGCCTCTTCCTCTCGGTGGAGCTGCCATCATCTATTGGCTCTCTCTTCGTAAGTTTTTTTCTTTTAAAGATCCCATCTTCCCCACTCCTTCAATACCTGTTCCCCAGACAAGAGCAAATGTGATTTTCAATCAAGTTAATGACTCTAGCTAGTGTGCCCCTCAACTGTTAGAAATCAGGCATATGAACGCTAATTAGTCTTAGGTATTGTTTTCCAATCTTGATTGTCTTTATTTTTATTAAAAAATCATATATATAGTTTAATATTGTTTGGTTACTAGGGAAATTAATTATATTGGCAAAAAGACAATCTTTTAAATCCAAGTTTGCTTTTCTAATGAATTGTATTTCCCCTCAGATTACTGACTTTCTGCTCCAATCTTCTTTTCTATGTAAAGCTATCTTTTTTTCTACATCAACTATGATGAAAAACGGTTTCCTAGACATCATAACCTTATTTGTGTTACTGTTTTTCAGTATAGCATTGCATACATGAACCCAGACATAGACTCAGACATTTCTTCAAAAGCCAGTTGAAAAAATTCAAAGGGGGCCAGCCCAGTGGTACAGTAGTTAAGTTTGCACGTTTGGCTTTGGTGGCCCAGGGTTCGCCTGTTCGGATCCCGGTGAGAACCTACACACTGCTTGTCAAGCCATGCTGTGGCAGGTGTCCCATGTATAAAGTAGAAGAGGATGGGGCAGATGTTTGCTCAGGGCTGGTCTTCCTCCAAGAAATAAAAATTCAAAAAAGAAAAAAATTAAAACAAACTATGAATACCAGGAAGTGGAGAATGTGCTCCACAGGTCCAAAGCAAAACGTATTCCAGAGCTATGATAAAACCAGGACTTAGTGAAGGATGAATAAGGCAAAAAAGTACCACCAAGGAGGTTGATTGAAAACAATCATTGAGGGGCTGGCCCTGTGGCAGAGTGGTTAAGTTCACATGCCCTCTATGCCCCGCTTTGGTGGCCCAGGGGTTTGCCCGTTTGGATCCTGGACCTGGACCTAGCGCTGCTCATCAAGCCATGCTGAGGTTGCATCCCACATAGCAGAGCCAGAAAGACCTACAACTAGATTATACAACTATGTACTGGGGGGCTTTGGGGAGAAGAAGGAAAAAAATGAAAGATTAGCAATGGATGTTAGCTCAGGGCCGATCGTTAAAAAATAAAAGAAAACAATCATTGACGTTTATACAATCACTCTATCCAATATGCAGTTTGCTTAATATTTTAAAGAAATTCTGGAAAATCACATCTTTAAAAATTCTTTGATACCTATATGACAAAAAAGAAATAAAATTTATTGACAAAATCAAAGTCACTACAAGTTAGATTTATTAGTTTTACCACTTGGTATTGTTATGCCAACAGAGGAATAGTAAATTGTGTGCATGATGTACAGTGGCCAAAAGGAAGAAAACAGCACTGATTTGCTGCCCTGACCCAAAGAAAGGACATCCAAAACAAGCATTCCTTATGCAGTCTGAGCCAGTTCCTTTCTGACTTCTCTACAATTCCACATAAGTCCAAGGTACCAGATGGCAAATAAGAGCATGACCTTTAAGCAGCTCATTCACCATTAACCAAAGGATTGATTTAGTCATATAAAAAGGGAATATTTTTAGTAATAATAATATTAATAACAATAGTTCTCATCTGTCTGTATCCAGCCCATTCAATCCTCACAGCAGAGGTAGTTGTCCTAAGTTTACACAAAAGGCAACCGGTGCTGTTTGAGGTTGAAAACCCTACCAATGTCACCAATCAGTAGACTGTGGAGGCTTCCCAGATCAGTTTTGCATTTTCTCAACACCATGCCAGTGTCATCCAGAATGCCACACTTATTTCAGCAATGCTCTGTCAAAAATTTTTAACAAGTGTTTATATTACTGAACATTAGAAAAATTACAATTGGTTTCACAATATTTCAGGTCTCAGTATGCCCAAACAAAAATTGTTGACTTAAAAAAAAAGTTTGCTTGTTAGCTATGTAGCTTCTCTGTACAGTTGAAGATGTCCTGCATTGTCTAGGTCAATATTTCCTAAAGCGTTATTTTTGGAATACCATGCCAGTGACATCCTCCCAATAAAATAATTTTAAGAAACACTATACATCACACTTCACTCTTGAAGATTTCCATCACACGGTTTAATACTAAAGGTTTTGTGAAAACCTACAGTAAAGAAATCTTTGTTTATTTTTGTTAACTCTAGGGCTGTCCAAAGATATTGAACCATAAGATATTTTGTTTCCAAGTAGCTTCCACACTAATTATGAATGAGAGTGAAAAGGTAAGTTAATTAGTGTTTAAATTCAAAAAGTTCTCAGACATTTCATTTATACAAAGAACCAAGATAAATAAAGAGTTCAAAAAAAATTATCAATGACGGGGGACAATGAGCTTGCCAAGCTATGTAGAGAGGGTCTAAAGTGCAGGGACATGCATGGAAAGATGACCTGCAGAAGATAAGAGACAAGCAAACTGAAAGAGGAACCACAATAGATGTGTCTCCTTCCTTCAAGTGAAGTCATGGAGATCCAGTCTCAGGTATCATCAGGACACTGATGTTCAGTGTGTCTCTGTAACCAGTGGGAAACTAAGCAGCCCTAGGTACAGCCAGCAGGAAAAGCAAAAGGGAGCCCAGAGCCAAATCCTTCCCGATTAGTTCCATTATCCTGAGCCATTACCCTAAAGGTAGTTCTTATAATTATATATGATTCCTCAATATAGAAAGTCACAATCAAGTCTCAGCAAAAATCCTCTCAGTGCATTTTTCCACAACACAAATAAAGCTGAAAATTAACTTGATAGGGTAAGTTAGAGACAAAATAAAGAGGGGCTTTTTAATCTTATTTAGAATATCTCACTTGCCTATCATTTTCTAATTGTACAGACTCTACCTACGTACACAGAATTCCTAGAAGAATATTGGCCATACCAGAGATGGGTGTCTTCATAGACAAATGTCATATTCAAATGCATAGAAACACTAATGGCTTTTCTTTACTCTTGCTTAACCATAATGGAGTTGAAAATTGTTTTGAAAGCATTGCATTTATCCAAGTTGCAATTACCATGCTTTCAATGTTGTCTTAGTAATTTTATGCTGCACTAAAGATTAAAAAAAAAATGAAGCTTTCTGAATGTAGGGATGATAGCAAATTAAGAAATATTTCGGAGTCATGTAATGCTATAGCCTAACTAGTGACAGGAGGAGGAAACTTTCTTTAAAAGATTAAAATACTAATTACCTATTACTACTATTGGAAGTCTAAGATAATTTCATCTAACAGATATTTATTGAGCAATTATTCTGTGACTGATTCTACGTAAGTCCTTGGAAATAAAAGATATGAATAAGACACAGTTTCTAACCTCATGGAGCTCGCAGAAGGACAGCCCCTTCTCTGTTCCCTCCAACACACATATTACATAATTACTTTTAAAATATGTTTGACTGTAATATGTCCTGAAAACACACGGGATTTGTAAAGGGTAGGACTGTGGATCAAGACAGCAGAAAAAGAACAAGAAAATGTGACCTTCTCTGACAAGAAAAGTGGAGGAACTGAGGCAAGCCAAGGCAGCCGAATTCACTGCCCTTTCTGAGTGCTCCAGTCCTGAGGAATGTCTCAGCAACCGGCTCTTTGTATGTAGCTGGTCCACTAAGCTTTGTAACTTTACCTGATTACAAAAATCTGTCTCTGAACAAATCATCCCTTTCTTATTCGTAACTCACAATTTTTGCGATGAAAATAACTTTTTACTTATAACATAAATAATACATGTTTATTAAAAAATAAATGAAATAACACATAAAAACATATGAAACAAAGTAAAATTCACCTGAAATCCCATCACCATTTTTTTTGGTGGCTATGCTTTTATGTATTCATTTATGCAAATAAAATATAATTATATGCAGATAGATTTACAACTATATATAGTATTTACCAGGGACCCCTTTCTGCAATGTTTATTTTGTTACTTCTCATCTTACACACATCACACCTCTCACAGAAAAGTAATGTTAACACTCTAATATGTATTCTTCTAATCCTTCCATACCTTTCTCCACAATTTTTTGCTTATATACTCCATTTTCTTTTACATATGTGTGCATGTATGTGTGTGGGGGAGGGTAGAAGAGAGAGAAAAAGACAGAGAGAATTTTATTTAAAATAAAAGAATCAAATCATATGAAGATCTTTACATTTGCTTTTCTCACTTGCTTTTCTTGTGGAAATTCCTCTATTTTGACCAGTGTTTCTCACTGGTCTATTTATATTTAATAAATAGTGAAATCACTTGGGGACCTTGATAAAATGCAGATTATAACTCAGTAGCTCTGTGATGGGCCCCAAGATTTTGCATTTCTGGCAAGCTTGCAGGAGATGCGAAGGTTGTCGCTCTGTAGACAATACTTTTGAGCACCAAAGTATAAGAGATCTATCTTATTCTTTAAACGAGTTTCTTTGTATTCCGTTCCTCAATTCATTTAACAGCTCTCCTTCATGTTGTTTTTAGGTTTTACTGCCAAAAAAAATTGGAGTAGCATTTCTTTCCTCATTTCTACACGTTTCATAAGTCACCTCTTTCCTACTTCTAAAGAGCATGGGGCTCAATGAACCTGGGATGGTGCCACGAGCTTAACACACGCTCATTGCCTATCTACCCAACAGTTGATAAAAGTTGCCATTTTCCAGGTCTCTTAAACAGTATGCTCCAAAATGAGGAGGTGCCCCAGCACTACAACCACTTACCTTGCTCAAGTCAGTCTCACCCCTGGGAGTACTTAAGATGCAGCTTGAAGTAACTGTACTGCAATGAACGCATTCTAGGTCTGTTGGACGCTTCACTGTCATCCACAATTGCTAAGTATCCCAGATCTTGAAGAAGTCAGAGTTAGTACTTACAGAAACAACTCATTTTAACATTTAACAGACTAAGGCATTATAAGCTTACAAAGCCCTGGAATGAAAATTCTATTTTTAAAATTTATTTTTCTGATATATTAAATTCTTATTTATATTTAGTCATCTCTAATGCTAGAATGTCCATTTTATTATTTCCTGCCTAGGTTTAATTTTCTCTTGCTGAATTTTTTGAATGTTTACCATGAAGAATTGTCCTTCTGAAAATATGTTATGCGGAAATGCAATTATGAAGTTGGGACTTCCAGTTCTTTATGTTAATGTCATTTTTGCTACTTTGGTTGTGATTGCATATACCTGTAAACAGACAATAATGTACAGCCAATGTTCTTCTTTAACAGGTTCAGAACATGTCCCAGTCTATTGAAGTCTTAAACTTGAGAACTCAGAGAGATTTCCAATATGTTCTTAAAATGGAAACCCAAATGAAAGGGCTGAAGGCCAAGTTTCGGCAGATTGAAGATGATCGGAAGACACTAATGACCAAGCATTTTCAAGTAGGTTTGACTTCTGCAGTCTTGTCAATCCAAATGAGATACTGAGTGTGATGGACAGCCAACATGGCACTCAGCTAGAAATAACTGTGCATTGGCCCATACATGCAAGATTAAAGACTCACTGGGGACGTCAATCATCTCTCTACTGAAACTGACCATTAGCTGGTAGGAATGCCTAGAAGATTTGCTACAAAAATAGCCTCATCCTCCTAGAATTTAGTGGAGTTTCTAGATAGATTTACAGACACTTTGACATCTATGACAAGGGGAAATCTCAAGGAAAATTAATAATTAAAATTTTCAACGTTTTCTGATGATTTTATAGTCTGCTAATATAAGGAGAAATATAGAAAATATAAATTATTAGAAGAAGCAATAATACCATCATTAATAACATATAGAAAAGAGAGTTGTTTCATAATTTGACACAAATGAAGTCATTTTTTTAGACTTTTAAGTTTATCGCTTCTTGGTCTTTTGGCTAAGATCAAGTGTGTAGACTTTAAGCTGTTTATTGGCAATTATCTAGAAACACTGAAAATAGTGCTTTTAAGCCTGCTGTGTGGACTTTTGTTAACTATGTATGACAGTGTCATAGATTTAAAAAAAAACCTGACTATGACAATGCCATTTGAGCCTCTATTAAAGCCAAATAACCTGCCTTAAAGAGGCTTACCATGTAGTTTACAAGACACACTGGTTTTATAAACATAATAGCCTCTGTTTTCCCTGCTGCTTAGTGAGATTGACTGCTAATGATGAGGGAGTGGGTCTGAATTCAAGCTCTTGGTCAAGCATTAGAAGTGCTTTTCACACATAGTGGTGAAGGGCAGAGAGCTAGTCAGTAACATGCAACAGGATCTCTGCACAGCTCATTTTAATGTGGCAGAAATTTTCATAGTTTTGTAATTTTCTTCAATGGTGCTCAAGAGCCTGAGTAAAGAAGTGCAGAAAACAGTTCTTAACCAACGTTAAAGTTCTACCAAAAAAGGCGCAACACAAGGAACAGAGGGTGAGAAAGTTGAGGGTAAGGATAATAGAAGGGGCTGAAGTGATGAATCAGGAAGTTTAAGTTGAACAGAGATGTAAACAAAGCCAGAAGATTAAGAAATTAGAACAAATTAGAGCAAGGCCTAGAAGACACAATTAATTTAAATATTATTGGAAATGTGAGAATGAGTGAACTGGACAATAGAGAATCTATGGGGCAATGGTAAATAAAGAAGAATATAAGGTTGAGGAATAAATGAATTAATTTTAACCAATATTTATTGAGCATGTACTGTGTGCAGTGCAATGTTGAGCCCACTGCTAGATATATAACATATAATCTCTCTTCTATGAAAGACAACTAACAAGCAGGCAGGCAAAATTGATAGTAAGTAGAGGCATAAACATTACTTAACAGCACAAAGAGAAGAGTGATTAATTTTGTTAAATTTTGTTTAGAGAAGATCAGGGGAAGAGTTTCAAGATTTGGCAATATTCGAGAAAGCATTTTTAGACTGGTGCCTACCCCCAACCCCCCCCCCCCCGAAAAAGTATTAAATCACAGAGGAGATAAAGAAACCAAAAGGTTTTCAATGTCAGTTTTCAATGTTCAAAGTTAGAGCATAAACTGTAAAGCAATAATGTGATACTTGAGCCTGATGCTGAAGCCATCAACAAAATAGGCAATAGTAAGCTGGCACTTAGGGCACAGGGGGAGCATTCCCAGAAAGGAAGAGGGACAGAAGGAGAGGAGCTCAGGGCATCTGGCATGGAGGGAAAATCACTCAAACTCAGGTGGACAGCTTGAGGGACAGCTTGAGGGTGCCAAGGCTGGCAAGACCAGGGACACATGACAACAAATATGCGTCTATGGGAACTCTTGGGAGAAGACAGGAAACAAAGAAACAAAAAGACACAAAGCTGAGAGAAACACAAAGATGTAATTTGCCTATTCCATGCTTGCCCAACAGTAGCCAGGCTACCGATAAAAAAACTTAATTTTCAGGCAGCATCATAGGATCTAATGATTTTGATTTTCCCAGTTCATGTAAGCCAAGTAGATACTGAAATTATATGTCAAAATCCAAATAGCAGTAATGATAATGACTATTTTTCTGAAGAATTACTCTTATTTAGCACACTTCTGTGTACTTTAAACATCCTCACAACAATCCTATGAGGTAGGCACTATTTTTATCCCCATCATTCAGATGAGGAAACTGATGCACAAAAAGGGTTAAGCAATTTTCTCAGGGTCATATATCTAATATGTATCAGAATCGTAAAGTCCAGCTCCCTAATACCAATGACACGTTGTCTCTCTGAGTAGACTACAGCTCTCTGATATAAACTAATAATAAAAATTAGATGTGCAATATATATTTGCTGAATTTATTTATTCACTGAGTCCTACCACGAGTCAGATTTTGTGCTAGGTGTTGAGCAGCCATGTTTGAGAAGAAATGGAGCATTCCAAAAGTAAGTTTAACATCGAAGGCTACTTTTAAATCTGAAGAAAATCTTCCTCTGGCATACCATTTCAACTTACAAAAAGCCCTAAGCAGTTCTTGTCTTCTCCATTCTTTAAGATGAAAAGCTTTTCTAGTCATCATAGTGGAGACTATCATTTTTATATTAAGAGACCATTATTGGGGAAGATAGTCTATACATAAATGCTAATACAACCTCTGCTGTAAGAGCAACACTGTAGAAAGCGAAATTCTAAAAGGGATTAGCAAGCACAAATCTGTGCTATTCTGCTTTAATCTTTTAAGTATTTGATATATATATATATTGGCTGGACTTCCCACTGTTCTTTGACAAGTTTCCGGAGTTTCAAAACTGACTGCCAATAATCAAACAATGAATTTTTGAAAAGATCCAAAAATATAAAGACCTATTTTTTTTAATTCATGGGGAAAAAATGCCACCAGAATTGTGACATTTACTGCTCTTTGATATTCACGTACAAAAATGTAAAACTCTCCAGCACAACAGTTGCTATAATATGCAACGAACAGTACTGATAGAACTCTTCTCGTTAAAATCCTAATGAAGCAATTGTGTCTTCCTTTAGGGATGCCAAGAGATGCTCAAACTAATAAGTTTATTTCAAAATTAGCCACCAAAATGAGCAAAGCTCTGCAATTCTGCCTTTTGACTGGGTTATTTATGAATCCATCTCATTATTAAGACTCTCTTTACCCTCCCGTTCAACATGGACATATAGACGAATTCAAAGAATACTGAGCTTACACAGCAAGTGGAAATTTCCCCACAAGCAACATAAACCCATCAATCAGGGTAGCAATGGGAGTTCCTGCTATTTTAATGCATTTATAGTAATAACATCTTCTAAATGTAATTTTAAAATGCAATTTTTGGCTCCTTAAATTAGCGTACAGCATGGTTTCTGACAGCACCTATGGATTATTCTCAAACTATCAAAACAGTGACAGCTCTTTCCACAATTATATCATCTGCAATAAACTCCAACTGAATCAAACTCATGAAATATTTTCATTGACCATCAACACGAAGTTGAAGGGAAAGAAGAAAAGGTGGCATGTCTAGAAATTGAAAGTGAAACTGCACGTGTGGCTCAGTTCTGTGACGCTTGGAGTGAAGGACATTATGTTGGCAACATACACTTCTTGATCTCCAAATGAAAATCAACTTTTCAGTTCCGAACAGCTCTGTGCAACTGGCTCTTTTGTTACAGAAGCTATGAGCATGTTTGTCCCTGAAAGAGTTAATTCACTACATGTGCGAGCTACTCCGCTTTACATAAAGAGCTCTAAATTATCTATGCTAAGGCAAGTGGAGTCAGAGGATGGGTAATAATTCAAAGTGGTAAACAGCAACATACATTTCTTTGAGCTTTGAGAGGCTTTGCTTGATTTATTATGCTTGCTGAACTTACCTTCCTAATGATGCTGTGCTAAGATGGATATTAAAAAGAGGAATACTCAAGCACAATGGAAGGACAGAGTGATGTTAGGCCATAATTAGAAAAATTCTAAGTGTTAGGGAATAGCTGTTCCAGGATCCAAAGTTTTCTGTAAATACCCTCAGTACTTAGTAACATAGATAGTCAGTAACTGGGTTAATTAGACTTAACAGGCATAAGCTATTTGACCTATTTCCAATAATTCATAATTAGAAAATGGACCCTGCTTCCATTTCCTAACTAAATAATGCATTACCCACTTTATAAAATGCTACCAGAAAGTGAGATAATACACAAACCTTTCCTACAATAATTGCTATCATAGGAAGTTTTTGTAATTATGACAAGGATCAATTTGTTTTATAGAAAAGCATTTAAAGAGAGGTTCTTGCTTGAAAGGCTGAGACAAATAGATTTACTCTTAATGATCATGTGCCCACCAACATTTTCACAAAATACCTAATTTCAACCAAAAATCAGTAAGGAATTTTGATACACAAATATCAAATCATTATGTTGTACACCTGAAACTAATACGTTATATGTCAATTACATCTCAATGAAAAATAAATTAAAAAGTTTTTTTAAAAAGGAATTTGAATCTGTTTTAATAACCTCCTTTAAGTATCATATTAAAAAGAAGGTAGCTGCTTGATCTGTTTACACGACTCTCAGGAACAACTGGCTGCTTTCCACAGGAGTTGAAAGAGAAGATGGATGAGCTCCTGCCCTTGATCCCCGTGCTGGAACAGTACAAAACAGACGCCAAGTTAATCACCCAGTTCAAGGAAGAAATCCGGAATCTGTCTGCTGTCCTCACTGGGATTCAGGAGGAAATTGGTGCCTATGACTACGAGGAATTACATCAAAGGGTGCTTAGCTTGGAAACCAGACTTCGTGACTGCATGAAAAAACTAAGTGAGTACAATAATTCCATTTGTCTAAGTTGTGTTTTTAAGTAGTTTCAGTGAAAACTGCATTCTTACATTTTGCAAATATCCGTAAATACCTAATTATAGGGAAACGAGTGACTGCTTTCTAAGTGTAACGTAAGTGTTCCCTAATGGCTTAAGCATGCCTGGGTACTCAGCGTTATTCTATTAAAAGTTGCCTGATTTTCAGAGCACCCTGTTACCATTTGATGGCTTGAAATAAGTAGTCTGGAAAATACAGTCAATTCTATTGTCTACACTAATGGAAATAAGTTTTATTACACACAGATAATATGTAATGGTCAATCACTGCTTGGCTAGAGGAAGCAGGGAGGCATTTCTGCTAGTGGAGAAAGTAAGAGGGCTGGGGAAAAGGAAGATTATCTGGGACCAAATGTGAAACAACAATGATTAAAGCAAACCAACACAATTCCTCTATTATGCAGACTTGCCGTCAGCTGCTCTGATCCAATGAAGAAATTAAAAAGGGCACCTACTCAAATAGATATTCTCTATTCTGCAAGGAGTCAAATGTGTGACATGGGTTAAGGACGCTATTTCTTGAGTCATAAAATGTCTAGTTCAACCTGGTCTGAGTTTGCAAACTCTCCCATTGCATCCAGGAGCTAATTATTCAATTGAAGTCATCACGGGACTAGTCTGTAACTTAACGTGAAGTAAATAAGTGGTCATGAATTGAATAAGAGGGGTTGTACATCCATTTAGTAACAATATTTTAGTTGTTGACATGATGTGACATGACAGGGAGGGCAATGCAATAAGCATAGAAAAGTGTTCTCTCAAGCTAAAGAAAAGCTTCCCTGGAATAGAAAATAAACTGGGAAAAGGAGTAAAGAATTTGGAAAAATTAATCAATTCCCAGTAAAGAAAAGTTCAGAGAATAAATGTCAATGTTTAAAATAAAGTTTGAATGGCTTACAAGAACATTTTAAAGATTACTCGTTTTACAAATATAATTTAAATTCCATGCCTCCAGTTCTTGCTCCTCTCCACCAATTTTCCACATTATTGACAAGGGGATTTTTTGAAATACAATAAATCCAATATTATTTCACTCTACTTCGAGTGTCCTAAGAATCCTTTATGTCCTAGGATACAGTCCACGGCTTATGAGGCCCTTCATGCGTGGCACTCCCTACATCTCCCGTCTTAGGTCCTGCCCCTTCTCCCCTTACAAGCTGTGTCCCAGTCACATTGCTCTACACTCTCCAGCACAGGATGCTGTGAGACGCTGTTTGTTCCTTCTGAAACACTCTTTCCCCTATTTACTCCTTCTCTACCAATACACTTTCACCTGCCACATGTGACAAACTCCTATTCATTCTTCAGGTCTCAGTTTAAACGTTGTGTATTGCCAAAATCCTTTCTTGCCCTCCCTATGTGTCCCGTGTGTCCCTGCTAGGTGCTCTCAAACCCTGATCTTTTACCACTGATTGGACTTTTCCTGTTTCATTATCACTGCATGTGTAATTGGATGTCTTTCTTGCTAGACTTTCATTTCATAAGAACAAGAGGAATGTCTATGATATTCACTCTAAATCTTGTACCTCCCAATGCCTAGAAAATTGTCTGACAAGGAAAAATTACTTAATGAATATTTCCTGAATAAATTGATTCTATAGGGAGTCATAAGAACAATTTCTAAACTTTGGAAATAGAGTACTAATTTTTGTTTACTAAATACAGTAAATATTAGCTATTTCAAGTGGCAGAAAACAATCTATTTTACTTGTTAAAAAAAAAAGATCTCTTTTAGCCACATATTTGAGTTAGGACGGCAAAAGATTGATTAAGACAAAGCAAGGGAAAAGTTATTTATTTGATATAGCAGTTAAATAACTCCTTTATATCCTTTTGCTTTTATAATTCAAGTTATGGAGCTTATTGTTAATATAAAATAGGTAAACATTACCAACATAAAGCAATTTTGCTGTCATATTTTACACTTTTTTAATCAAGGGATACCTTTAGTTGGATCACATGTTAGTTACATAGCTTGCCAGACGATGTATCCACCAAATAAGCTAAGAAGAAAATCTCAAGTCAAGAATTGTTTGAGTACCCTCAATATCTAAGTTACTTTGGGGCTTACAAAGAAGTATCTATATGAATATTTTATTAGTCCATAAAACATCTGGTTAAAGATTTTCTGTAAATGGCAGTACATGGCTCTGGTTTGTGTAGGGTTCTGACTTGCATTGGAAGACGTCTGTATGTTACAGTTGAACCACTCCAGACTCTGAGAATCAATTTACTCTGTCACTCCTAGCATCTTGCAATAAACCCAAGCCATAGGCTTTGTATGCTGAGACCAGGTGTCTACTAGGTACAAATGGACTCTACGAAAGCAAGGGCAGTCCAGAGAAAGGTTCTGCCTTGTAAACACCTGGAGGCTTAAAATGTGCCAGGTATGTTTTTGAGGGGTCAACATGGAAAACTCGGGATTTGCTCAACTTTAGAAATGAACTTCACTTACAACATATATTCTCTCTGAGTTTACTAATCCGGAAATAACGTCTACTGCAGTTAGGCAACTCTACACTCCTCTCAGCTCTTTCATGATTGCCTATTTGTTTTTTCTAATCCACATGTAACTCCCCACACACAATCTCCTCCAATATTGAAAATGATATTTGAGACAAAGAGGGTTAATCTCAGTGGACACAAATTCATCTTATTCCTTCTTACTGAACCACAGATAATATCTCTATGGTGTCCTTAAGCCTCAGGACTATGATCTGCAATATTATCAAAGGCTCTTTTTATTAATTTTCCCCCCCAGGGACCACAAAGTTTGAAAGAATGTGACTGTAAAACTGCAATAATTAGTTAAGATTTATTTTTATTTTATCTAATCAAAAACATAAAATCTAAGGGCTGGCCTGGTGGTGCAGTGGTTAGGTGCACGCGTTCTGCTTGGGCGGCCCTGGGTTCACCGGTTCGGATCCTGGGTGTGGACCTGGCACCGCTCGGCAAGCCGTGCTGTGGCAGGCGTCCCACATAGTAAGTAGAAGAAGATGGGCATGGATGTTAGCTCAGGGCCGGTCTTCCTCAAAAAGCAAAAAGCAAAACAACATAAAATCTAGCACCAATACAGATATAAAACAGCAATAAAACTAGTATTCAACTTTCTTATTTAATGAGATGGCTGCTATTCGAGTTGATAGGACCTCATGAGATACCGAAAATAGTTTTCACATGTCATAAACTCCTTTTACATTGTTAGTGGCCTTCAGATCCCTATGTACTTTTGTACATCCCTGTGTGTGGTGAGTGCCACACAAACAATGACTTTAACTCATTTATGCTTCTTGTCCCAAGAACTGAGTACTTTTCTCCATCACACCATGTTTATGTCAATTAATCAAAACCACTTACTGAGAGCCTTCTGAGCAGAGAAGATATTTATCAACTGGATCACAACCGTTAATTACAATGTAGAAAACATGTCCAGGTAGAGACAGACAGCCTTAATACCATAAAGTATGAAGCCACATGGTCCCTCAAAACATAGATAAATGAATCTTTATATTTTCTATTAAAAAAAGAATTACTCCCATTTGAAAATAGGATCTCTGATAAGATATATATATTTGCAGAAGAAAACGCAAACATATAAATTTGAGTGTAGCACTAAGTTATAGCTTCATTAATACCTTACTTAGTGTTTACACTTTCTGAGAATTGGTATATATTGGACCAAACTCTCTCTCTGAATGATTTTAACTCCATACCTAGTATTATCTCAAAAGCAAGTCCTGAATATCAAGATACCAGAACACATGGACTCAGAAAACAGATGTTAATCAATATCAGGATCATTAACAGGAAATGTAGAGAAAAAAACATATCAAGGGTTCAGTGTTCCAAAGGAGTCTAAAATCCAGTTGCTGTGCTGCTCGGATCTACAGTGCGACATTAGATAATTATGGTATTGACAATGTAGTAGTGGGAGCAAGAAGGCTCATCCATCAATGGCATCTTCACTCTTCACAAAAGCCTCTCAACATACACAGTCCATTAGCAGAGGATAGAAATGGATAGAGGAAAAAGAGCACAATTATAACAATGATGAATGCATTTCCCCTCACATTTCCAGTAGATTTGCTTTAAGAGAAAAAACTATAGTTGAAGATTACATGAAGTTCAAGACACCAAAAAAACAAAGTAGCTTCATTGCCTGCAAGACCTAATCCCAAATAGTAAATAAGGCACTGAAGGAACCACAAATCATTGAGACCAGTAGGGCACCATTTGACTTATTTCTATTGGATAATTAAAATTTTGGATAAAACAGAAATGAGAAGAAATGCTTCAACACCAATGCACCCTAGTGGCCCGAATGAGGTACATAATGCTCTTTCCTAAGTGCTTAATTTTCTCCTATGAGAGACTGAACAAAGTCCCCTGTGCTTAATTAAATCATGTCACATTCCTAGATATGCAAAATATAATTATATGCATGTGAGAATTTGACTGACAGAGCACAGTCAAAGCTCTTGCACACCCCCTGAGACCCCCCATAGATATTTAATGTATATTATAACCCCGCTTTCCAGCTTTCCGGTCCTTCCCCCCTCACTCCCTCTTGTTAGTTCTATTTTAGGGCAATGGTTTGGTGCCATCTAGTGAAGTACAGGATGCAGCTTTTTATTAACACAGTTTTGAGGCTTCATATTTAACAAAAGTATCAGTAGCATTTGAAACTTAAGGTCACAAGTTGTGAAACTGAGGTTATTGCTTTTACCAGGTTTGTGTCAAATAAGTTTTAAAAGGGAAATCAAATTGTCTCTGTGGTAATAGTCTTTTTTGCACCTTCAGCAAATACTTATTGACTCCCCAGTATGTGCTGGCACTTGCCAGGTATTTGGGATAAGGCTAAGTAGCAGACAGTCTCCCTCTAATTGTCAAGAAGCTTGCACTTTAGTGGGGCCAGCAAGCTTCTAAGTATATAACCACAGCAAT